AAACGTATTATTATTATTATTTTCTAAAACGCATTCAAAATCCTGTGATTTTTCTTCGTAATTTATGATCTGAATGAACACCATTCTGTAAGTCAATGAATAGAAGTTGATGATCTCTTTATATTAAACATAAATTAAATTTCTTTATTATAAATACTCTTATCAATTAAACCCTTTACTGATATTTTATTGTGGAAGCTTGTAGACAGTCATGTCATATTCATGTACTTTACTAGAAGATCATAAGCTGCAAGACAAAATGAAAATAGGAAAAACAGTTCTTTGAATTTTCTGATAAATTATGCCTTATCATCTTCAAATATATACTTTCATAAATATATAAACTGAAACCCCAAAACCAATAAACAAAGTGTAAATTAGAATACAAATTTATTTACATATCACAATGAAACTTTATTTGTTCTTGATACATTTGAAGATACTATAGTAAATAATATAAAAATGGTTTGCTCCAGAATTGTTCACTCTGATTTAGGGATGGAACGATTACTGGTTTCACGATAAATCACGATAAAATGCCCTGACGGTTAGTATTACCGTTTAAAATTTAATTATCATCAAAACCGTGTTTGATTATCGCGATTTCGAAAACTCGTGGTAAATCCTGTCCAGCCAGCATCAGTCTGACGCAGAATGCACTCACTGCCCAGAATTGTTTTAAAGAGACAGTTCACCCAAAAATGTAATTTTGGCATCATGTACTAACCCCAATGTTGTTCCAAACCTGTAGGAATGTCTTTCTTCTGCTGAACTCAAAAGAAAATATTTAGAATGTTGGTAACCAAACAGTTGCTGGTAGCCATTTACTTCCATTGGATTTTCCATACTATAGAAGTCAATGGCTACCAGCAACTGTTTGGCAAATATCTTAGTACAGCTTGAGAGTGAGTAAATGAATTTTTGGGTGAACTATCCCCTTAATGTAGCTCAGGGAAACAACACAAGCAACGTGTGTCTGAAAATACTTACTGTAACATACTTTTTCTCTGATTTAATGTACACGATGACTTTTAAAGCAATAGCTCACAAAACAAATCGTTATTTACTTAACTCGTCCAACTTTCTTCTGTGTAACCCAAAGGAGTTCACAGAGAAGATGACAACTAAATATAACGTTTTAATAATCGTTTTGATTCTTTAAGAATCACACAGTCCACACCTCAGCAAAAACATCCAACTCTTTAATACAATGCCAATAAATGGAACTTGGCTGTAAAGCACCAAAATTTCATTGTACAAGTTCATCGTGTGCTCTTCCCCTCTACCATAACTCTCAAATCTGATTCTCAATAGCGTGCATAAGCGATCAGTTCAGCAAACAACAATTTAAATGTAGGTCTACAAAGGTCAGCCAAGACATTCTGCCCATCTCCTTTTTAACTTAGGAAAGATGAGTTTGGATTTAGAATAACATCACATGATGACAGATTTTTAATTTTTGGGTGTACTGTTCCTTTAAGATCTCGGGGATAGAGCTAGTATTTTACCCAACTTCACACATTATTTCCCAATTTAAGCTAGCTTATAAACCTCTAAGACGACACCACGTATCTAACAAAGCAATATCAGCGGACGTGACTCAGCTACGCGTCACTTCCTCCACATTAGGCTACCTCCGTGAAGTTGGCACCCCATAAAAAGAAATAATCAAAACTATGCCATTCGTTTGTGCTACATTTGTGCTGATTTGTGCCGCAAAAACGAACATTTGTGCTGGTTTGGTGTTTGAGATATTAAACATAATTTTTTTTGACCGTGTGACGTCACTCTCCACCCCATGTTTCCAAAATCGCTCCAAACCAGCGCAGTTCGTTTGTGCTTGATTTGTGCCCGTTTGTGCCGTTAAAACAAACACTGCATCTATTTTCCTTCCTTAGATATAACCAAAATATTTTCGGGAACTGTGACGTCACTCTCCACCCCAGTTCGTCTAAATCGCACAAAACTGGTGTCATTCGTTTGTGCTCGATTTGTGCCGTTAAAAGAAACCCTGTAACTATGACCGCTTCTTTTATATAATAAAAATAAACTTTTTACGAACAGTGACGTCACTCTCCACCACATGCAATCTAAATCGTTTCAAAACGGTGCCATTGGTTTGTGCTCGATTTGTGCTGGTTTGTGCCGTTCAAATTTACATTGTATCTATTTCCCGTCCTCAGAAATAACAAATACAAAAGGCCCAGTGACGTCACTCTCCACCCCATGCTGTCCAAATCCCTCCAAACCGGTGCCGTTCATTTGTGCTCGATCTGTGCTGATTTCTGCCTTAAAAATTTTACGTTTAGTCAGGTCCAAGTTTTCACTAACTTCATATTTCAAGCTTCATAAGCTTAAATTTCAAGGCAGCATTAAGTTGAAAAGGTGAGACCGTCTTTTTTTTTACTGCGAGTCTAAATCGTTCCAATTCATTTGTGCTCGATTTGTGACGTCACTGGCCCGTTTTGTATTTGTTATTTCTGAGGATCTAATAGATACAATGTAAATTTGAACGGCACAAATCGAGCACAAACGAATGGCATAGTTTTGATGATTATTTCTTTTTATGGGGTGCCAACTTCACGGAGGTAATTAACCTACTACCCATTTTCGATGCAAGGAGCCAGCAAACAATAAAAATATCACTGCTTGAGTTTTCAAAGCCTTGGAGACTAACTTAAACTATATATTGCATGCTATTTTATGTAGCTTACATAGGCCTATACTTGATTAAATTTCATTGAAGCACTGTTTCCCTCCCATCTCTCTCGCAGCTAACGGGTGTGGTGGCTGTGTTTTATGGCTCGGGTCAGGTTGAGATGAGCGCAAAAGTCACCCTGGGGTTCGTGGGGGAATCAAACGTTCCCCTTTTTAGCGATGCGATCTCTGAACTAAACGCATTTAACAGATTTCCCATAGACCTTGCGCTTAATACGCACTTAAAAGATGCCAAATGTTCAGTAACTAATATCCACACAATATATAAATCCAGTGCAGATGTCTTCACAAAAGCCTATTTATGTAAATGACTGCAAAAATTAAACCAGTTTTTCTTAATTACTAAATCAAGACCAATGCAAACGCACACCAAACCAACAGAAGATAAGAAAGCAAATGATACAGACTTACTCTGTACAGATATTTTCCGCTTTATTCCAGTTTAATGCATGACAAGGAGAACCGAGCCCCTCTCCTGTGACGCCCAGATGTTCTCGTCCTTAAAGGGACTCACTTCAGTCCTCCACGCCCTTTTCCTTCCGAGTTAGGCACTGCCTTTCTCTCACCATCTGACCTCTCCATACAGTCTAGAGAAGGGTTTGTATGCTAAAATTAGTTGTTTGCATTGCATTATGTGACATTTTCCCTTTTTTTACAAACGGGAAAAAAGTATTTCTTATCATATCTTTATTTCTTTTGATACAATTCTGTATATGAATCATGGCTTTTTTTTGAGTGGAATTCACTAACTGGCTAACTGTAGCATTCTCAGTTCTCTCTATGTGATAAACACGACCAGACTACGCGAGACTGAGGTTGACCGCTGCATATTATCTTAAGTAATTATATTAAGGGTATGGAGCAAAACAACTTAAATAATAGGACTGTGCACTGGCATATAATGAGAATGAGGGGATAAAAAGTGCAGTTAGACAATCTAATGATATAAGATATGGTAAAAAAACAACTGTTCCCTGACCGGGAATCGAACCCGGGCCGCGGCGGTGAGAGCGCCGAATCCTAACCACTAGACCACCAGGGAGCGGTGTTGACCCAGATTGAAATAGCCTTAATAATAATAGTCCTGTGCACTAGGTAGAACTGCAACATCTTTGTAGTCTCTGTTTTTGCTGAATGGTTACATTAGTGTGGAATAGAAAACATTGATTTGACTTGTCATTATTTTGTTATTGTGATAATTACAAGCACAGAGCCAAAGTATAGGCTACATCACTGTTTTAATGAAAAAAAGAAATGCAAAAAGTCATTTTTTAAAAAAATTTTTATTAAACCATGTACAAAATTAGTACAAATATATATCTCGCAAGACGTGCTACCAAAAAGGAACATGAAAAAAAAAATACAATACAGTGAAATAAAATAGGTAAAATTTGAATTTACGAGTTGTGTTCTTTCACTATCACGGAGCCTACTAATATAGTTTTTTTTGTCCCTATTTTTAATTAGATTTTTTTTCTGCTTTCATGTTAATTTTTAGTTGGTAATTTTGTCACGTGTTTGTCATTATTGTTATTAGTTGTTGTTCGAACTAAATTAAAATTAGAAGTATTGCCTTGGAAACTAACTGAAATAAAATAATATATTTTTTATATTTTATTTTCTATCAGTTAAGATTTATTTTATTTTGTAAGAAACTTTTTTAGAGTTTTGGTTTTAGTTATAATTAACTATAATAACTGAAAATAATAATGATTGAAAGCAGATCCATACTGTTTAATTTAGTTTGTTTAAAATGTTTTAAAATATGGCTCTCATCCATTTTTTTTTACACATGAATATGATACTTTCCAAGTAAAATAAATAATTGTATGATAACATAATGCTACTTTTGAAATAAGCATTGCCATGACTTTTTGATTACTTTTAGATTACTTCTGACCTAACTTGCTTATGACATTGATTTAAATAGTATAATCTTGCGCCATATTGATATAAAAATGCAAAGGAAAGGAAAAGATATTCCATTTGTTGTTATTAACAACGTGAAGTGCATTAAACATTACGTCAATGTTTCCCAAACTGTGGTTTGTAAAGGAACTGCAGGGGGTTCGTGAGTTTAATGAAAAACGAATAATTAATTAAATCATAAAAAATGTTAATTAAAATAAATGTGATGTACGTGTGCTATCAGGGCAGCCTGATTCCGGATATTTTAAAATGTTCTTAATTTTTGGAATCGGACGTAATCCAGATTACATGTAATCAGTCACTGATCATGTACTAAAACCCTTCTCCAGTTTGACCTGCAGCACCACAATCCAGCCGCTAGAGGACGAGCGCGAGTCTGTTTGCCTTCCCAGCCAAACATAAACCCAGGGATGATGGTGTTATTCCGGAATGGCGAACGCTCGCGCGTTGGGATTACACCACCAATAAAGACAAACAGAGCACACATCTTTGGGAAGCACTGAAAGGAACTCGACGCTAAACGTGCATACAGCGAGAGACGGACGCGAAAGACGCGAGCGGCAGGGATCCAAGTGGCTGCGGATCAAATGAATGTCGCTGGCCGCCAAACGAGCGTGTGCGAGTCGCCGAAACCCGGCCAGTAATTGCGCCGCGAAACGAGAGCGTTCCGAGGCGGGTGTGTCGCGCCACGCGTGCAGAAGATCGCGTGCGGATCGCGCTGCTCGCCAGCGTTCTACCGCGCGCGTGTGTGAAGGTGAACGGCCGCGGCCGTCGGAGTCGCGTTGTGTGTGCGGCGCCCGTCAGTACGCGGCGGCGGGGATGCACGCCGTGCGGGCCTCGCGTTCACTGGAAGCAGCGGAGCTCGACCGGCGGATTTTTTCGCTAAAAGCACGGGATTCTGTGGGTTTGCGGGGGGTGTTCAGCGGAGCGCGCGTGCGAGCTGCTGCAGTAATCTGACTGTCAACACTGGGAACCTTGCTGCTTATTCATCAGTGCATGCACTTTATTTGCGTCCCACCACTGTGTGTAAAGCGGCTGCTCGCGTCATATTCCCCAGCCTTTGCGTTTGAAAAGCTCCTCTTGCATTGCATTGAAATCAGTAGCTCCAAAGTCCAGAATAACCTTGCTAAAAACACTAGCACCAACTGACTGTGAGTCACCTCGACCCCTAATACACTGCAGTGAAGCCACAGGGCACGGCAGCAAAGCCGATTCCTCTCATTCGGACTGCTTGTGTTGCCTTCCCCGCGGTCTGTTCATGTTTTTAAAGCGATCCTGAAGTGGGAAGATCTCCAGAGATCAAACAGAAATGTGGCGTATTGATCCTGCATGTTCCCCTGAGAGAGAGTCTGGCTGTTCTGAAGCTGCCAAACACTAAGTAGTGAGTTCCACTGGGTTTATGTGGACTTTGGGAGTTTGCTTTTTCAATGGGACGATGCTGGTGAGGAGGATCACTGTGTTTCCCCGAAAGGAACTTTGACCCCTGAAGCGGCGAAAGGACAAAACTCACCTCAAGGAGTGGGAAGAGGAAACACGACTAACCCTACACTAATGACATGATCTCAGACTGACAGAAAAACCACTACACTAGTAATCGGACAAACCTCACAGCCATGAGTGTCCGACACCCGACCTCCACGCTGGATAGGTGAAGTTGCTTTCTTAAAATGACCTTTAGACCGATACCGATTCCCTGAGAGCACACGCACATCACGGAGACGTCTATTTGACGTCTGCATTACATCCATAGGATTCCACGTTTCCTATCAGATGTCAAATAGACGTTTAGAAGATGCATTTAAGATGTTTATGTAAAACTGACATCTTAAACCCAGATAGCACACGTACGTCTGCAAGACGTCTGTTAAAGATCGCTTCGTCTGGAAAGCATCTGCAGTGTACAAACATCTGACAGACGTCTATAAGATGTCAGTTTTTACAAACATTCTAAATCACAAACATCTAACAGACGTCTATCAGATGTTTCTACACAGCAGATGCTTTCCAGTCTTACAGACGTACATACTGTTAGTATCTTAACGTGCTCCGTGATGTTTTTAGTGACTTATGGGTCAATGCATTATATTCCATTCATAAACTGAGCTAGTATGTACTATTTTAAACAATTAGGTCCTCGAATCTGATTGGTCGAGCGGCGTTAGCAAGTGTGTCAGTTCTTGAAATCTTGTGAATGGATAGTAAATAACTTATAAGCTTGAGTAAATATTCTGTTATATAAGCGTTAATCAATTTTGTGCACATTTCCATTTGATGTCATTCAGTATTACGTATGAATCTGCATTATATCGGCCGTCCTCAATGCAGCGAAATTTTAAAAACTCGTATCGGTTGACCATTATCCTCATCTCTCTTAAAGGAGTGTTACAATTTAAATTTTTATTCCTTTTTAAAAGCACGAGAGATCCTTCTAAATTATTTTCTGTGATACCGGGCAATAGCCTATGCCACAATGCAGCATCGCTTAAAAGCAACTGTTTTAAGTGACCATGCTTTATTTGCCGTCAGCCACACGATTAATTTGTTCGGCGAGTGAAAGTGGGGCTGTGGTGAGTGTGTAGTATTCAGCTGATCACGTGACCTCAACATGACGGCCCTCGTGTAAAATAAAAGGTTACATCAGTGGCGGCTAGGGTTGCAAAAAGGTGGAAAATTTCAGAAATATTCCAGAAATTTTGGAAACTTTCCAGGATTTTTTTGGGGAATATTCCAGTAATTTTTGGAAAGTTTCTGGAAATTTTCCACCCCTTTGCAACCCTAGTGGTGGCTGGTGGAAATACATTTTCTTGGTACGCCGGTGCCACATTCAACAATTTTAGCATGCATCCCAGTATGATTTATCCCAGTATAACAAAGGGACAAATATTAAGACTTGAAACATTTTAAATAAAGATAATTTTACCAAGTTTACGATTAAGTTTGAGGATGATTCTCACAAAACTATATTTTCTGCAAGCTTTTTTCGAGATAAATTCAACAGTTTTTTAAATTTACGTAATTTGTAAAAAGCTGAGGAAAAAATGTTACATTTGTTTATATAATTTTTATACATGTTTAAATAACAAGTCAAGCTGCAATACCAAACAGGGCCACACGGGGGTGCCAACAGACCACAATACCAGTCGCCTTAACCTGACTATATACGGATCCATTCAGAATTTTTAAAGAGATTAAAACACAAATAAAAAAGTAAATAAAAACATTCTGAATTTGTTGAATGTGGCGACAGAACAAACGATATCGACTGAAATGTGTTTTTCAGGGCCAATGCCGATTATTACAGATCAAGTAGACTGATAACTAGGGCTGCACGATTATGACAAAAATCATAATTGTCGATTATTCCCTTGAAATTGTAATTGCGATTATTAATTACGATGATCACATTTTACATTGAATGATGTTTATACCATTGTTTGATGCAACTGCATGCCGTATTTTTATATGAAAATAAACAAGCTGAAAACACTTTAACTGAAAAAACGTTAGTGCTTTTCTATAGTATTAAGCCTCAAATGCCAACTATACATCGGATTGGTTTCTTCTTTAAATGATAAAAAAAAGGATAACATGTAGAAAGAAAAAAAAACATATCTTAAGCGTGCAGAATAACATAAGTGGACTTTGAACGATTATTTGCCGCTTTGAACGATTACGTAATTGTGGCATCCATAATTGTAATCGCGATTAGAAATTCGATTAATTGTGCAGCCCTACTGATAACCGATATGTCTGCAGTAAAAATGAAAATTAATGTCAAAATTAAGAGTAACAAGGGCTCTGACAAAAACTTTCTTTAAATGCTTTTAAATTATTTTATCGGCAAATCGGTTTTGAAAATGACCGATACCGATAACCATAAAAAAAGCTTAATATCGGCGGCGATAATCGGTCGACCACTGTTGAGAACGTTAGTTTAAGTATGACTGGCTAAGTAAAAACTTACCAGATTTATCGGTAGACCTGATTTTTGAGTAGAAATGTGATTATCACAGTTATTTCCCAGATTTTACTGTAGATTTTAGCTGATAGAAGAGGGCACACAGGCAAAATCATTGTTTACAGTGAATACACCGGCTTTTGTGCGCTTGTAAGGATAACATTAAGTTTAGACGGTTACTGCTTCCTCAGATCAGTGTCTCGTATCCTCTGCCTAACAATACAGGTTTTTCCATTCGTCCGGTGTGCCTTAGTTTCCTTGTTGCTATTTTTACCCTCTCGGTGCATCAGTTTCTGTTACAGCTGTGTGTTTGTGTTTAACTGATGAGTCGCTCTGGAGAAGATCATCCATCAGAAGTTTCACTTCATAAATTCGTGACTCTGTCCACGTTGTCTGTGTGTGTTTCTGTCTTTACGTGTCTTGTTCTGTCTCAAGATCTTTGTTTCTCTTTCCCATTGACTTGTTTTTCCTGTGCATCCACATCCTGTTTGTGTCATGTGACTGCAGGGCAGCCATTAAGAAACAAACACACCTGCCCAGGTATGATGAATCAAAGTCAAACCCAACACATGACATCTGCCAGTCACTAACCACAGGTTTCCGGTGCTAATTGTCATGCGGTTGAGTGTTTAACAGTGTCGAGTCGTGCGCTCAGACGTGTTTTTGACCTGTCAATCACACAAGCCTCTTCCACTATGTGCTTGTTATTTAGGAGGAGTTACTCGAGTTGTAAACTCACTCGCACGTCTTTCACTTTCTCAGTCAGTTTTACAGTCCGTCTCATGTTGAGTATTTGCTCTTTCTGTGCATTTCTCGCTCTTTTTCTTCCATCTGTCTCACTGTAATGCCTTCCTTCTCTCTTTCATGCTCCCTTTTAGTCCTTTTGCTGCTTGGTGAGTTTTCTGGTTTTATTTTTGTGTTATTATAATTAGCGGCAGGCCAGGCTGAAGTCTGTAGGTAGTGCATGTTTTTTTCTTTTCTTTTTTCAGTTATAGTACATGTTGTGTAATAGCAGCTTAAGTAATATGTGTAAAATGCATTACTTGTGTAGCTGTAGATATCAATATTTGAGCTCCGTGTTGAAAACACAATATTGGTCAACCACTATCGGCTAATGCCGGCGCTGATGTGAAACTCAGGAATATATCAAGTCCTTTTACTTTTTGTTCAATCTGGTTAAATTCACCAACTTTCAGTTTTATTTTGCATCGTGCATCAAGTATGTTGCATGCATCCTTCCCTACGTCTTACTCCCTTGCTTTTTTCTGGTTCTCTGTCCTTTTCTCCTGCTCCCTGGTCTCCTAGTTATCCATTTCTTGTGGCATTGATTTTAATATCTCATTGTTTTTGTCCGTCTTAGGTTGAGCAGTTTGACGTTGGGAGACTCGGAGCGCAGGTCTTCTCCTGGCCAGCAGAGGGAGACGCTGTCTGATCTCCCCTCAGACAACGCAGGTCAAGCAGAGCTCTCATATGCAAATGACCATGATCACATGACTTGATGTTATTAAAAGGTCCTCTGTTTGTTTCATAGGGACGGGTTTAGTCCAAAGATGTGTGGTTGTGCAAAGAGACAATCTGGGGTTTGGCTTCACCGTCTGTGGCGAGAGAATCAAACTAGTGCAGAATGTTCGGCCAGGTAATTAATACTTTTATTCAGCAAGGATGCATTAAATCGATCAAAGGTGGCAGGAAAGACATTTATAATGTCACAAAAGATTGCTGTTTTTACTTTATGCATCAGAAAATTCTTAAAATGTATCATGGTTCCCACAAAAACATATTTAACTGTTTCTAACTGAGATAATGATCAGAAATGTTTCTTGAGCAGCAGCATATTGGAATGATTTCTGAAGATCATGTGACTCTGAAGACTGCAGTAATGATGCTGAAAATTCAGCTTTGCATCTCAGGAATAAATTACTTGTTAAAGTGTATTCACGTAGAATGCAGTTATTGTATATTGTAAAAACATTTCACAGTTTTTACTGTATTTTTGATTAAATAAATGCAGCCTTGGTGAGCTACAAACCCCAGCTTTTGAAGGGCAGTGTACCTGTAAAGGATAAACGGCTATCAGAATCAAACCTGCTTTCTCTGTCCTCACAGGTGGAGCGGCGGTCAAGGCTGGAGTTCAGGAAGGAGACCGAATCATTAAGGTATTCTCAATCACGCTTGAAACAAAAGTGATTGTAATTGAATTAATAACTAATCTTATATTTGTCATCTCTGTTTGCCTTTCAGGTCAATGGTTCATTGGTTTCGTCCATGTCTCATCAGGAAGTGGTGAAGATGATCAAATGTGAGTCTGGCAGTTGTATGTTTAGTTTGTGTAGTTGTGAGGAGTGTCTTTACTGACGTTTGTTCTTCTCTGACAGCCGGGACGTATGTGGCGTTGACTCTTCAGGGACCGCCTCCTTCAGTCGTGTCCGTCCCGCTTCAGCCCCTCCCCTCTGACCTCTTGCCCAATCACAGGACAGCACCTGGTGAAGCCCCGCCTCCTCCACCAACTCCACCCACAGGAAGCAGCACTCCGACTCAGAGAATTACAGGACCCAAACCATTACAGGTGCGCCATGTTTTTAAAACTTTTATTGACTATAACATAGAGTTGTAGGGCCCTCAATCGGCTGTATGGACTATTGCCAGTGAGTATTAAAGCGCAAAAAGTCTGCGTGTCTCTGTGTGAATGAATGGCATGGTTTCGTCTACTACTTCATCTCCTGAGCTGCTCTGAGAGTCATTTCATTTGAGATATGCGCACACAAACTTAAAGATCTTCTACAACCCGCCAAAATAAAAGTTCGGATTAACTTGAAGAAATTATGACAGAAAATATATTACTATTGTACAGCAGAACGTGCTCAAAGTAATAATAATTATAATAATAATAATACATTATTTTTGAGGAAGTACCACACAGTTTTTGTCAGTGTTTTAATTTAAATGTTAAACCTCTGTTTTGTAACAACAAATTAAAGGATTGTTACAATTTTATTTGATTTGAAGTTTTTATTAACACGCAGAATCCAGAAAAAATAAAACTGACATCACAGAATTTCAGAAATGAATAACACCTTTCATTATTAACACGCTGTTACACTATTATTGATACAATTTTTATATATGGTTAAATTGTTAAAGTTTAAAAAAATAAACTGAAAAATTAAATCCTTAATTATTAAAATTGAATTTAATTAAACTCTTAATATGGAATCCAAAAAATGATAAAACCCCACAATAGTGAAAAAAAAAACTTTGAGGGAAAAAAAAAAAAAGAATATAGGGTATTCTTATCGTTAAAATGTTAATAAGTGGTTAGATTGTTAATGTTGTATGAATTTAGTTATTTAAATTAAAATATTTTTATGATTAAGTTTTATGAATTTAATCAATTGGACGTTCATTTATTAAAAAGTTAATTAATTAAAATGGAATCCAAAATAAATAAATAGAACAAGCAACACAGAATTTTTGAGGGGAAAAAAATACAAAAATAACAATAAAAACAACACATTTCATAGGGCACTACTATTGATCCAATTTTAATAAGTGATTAAATTGTTAAAGTTTTATGAATTCAATTAATTATTATGAAATTGAAATAAAGGGGACATAACACACACAGTTTCTGCCAATCTCATGTTAATCTTGAGTACCTATAGAGGAGTACTCTTTAACAGTGTAAATAAGTCAGAATTAGGGATGTAACGATTAACCGCGAGCCGGTTGAAAATCGATTCAAATATGTGACGATTCAAACAAGCGCCGCCTGCTGGCAGAGAGTGAAACTGCGTCTCGTTCAGCTCGTCTGCTGTTTCGGTTTCATGCAGATATTTTTATGCATAGTTTCACAAAACTGAAGTCAAACCATTCTGTTTTTGCTTCAAATGTCGAAATTATACAATCTAATTTAGAATAAAAACTGCCTCACATTTCATTTATAATTTGTCTTAAATCTCATTTAGTAAAAAATTAAATCGTGAATCGAATCGAATCGTGAAATCAAAACCGTGAATCGAATCGTGAGTTGAGTGAATCGTTACATCCCTAGTCAGAATGCATGAAATAGCTTTAGATTCCCCCTTTAAAACATTAAAACGAATTCCAGAAAGAAAAAAAGAAAAATCAAACGGAAAACATTGAATTTGGGAAATATAAAACTGAATTTTTGAAAAAATAAATAAAACGCCATTTCTCTCCATCATTCGCAGGACCCTGAGGTGCAGAAACACGCCACAGAAATCCTGCGAAAGATGCTGGAGCAGGAGGAGGCAGAGCTGCAGGTATCAGATCAGTGCTTCTCTCATGTATGTGTTGAGTCGTGTTCGGACCCGTCGTTAATGATGCTCTCTCTGTGCAGAACCTTCTGGAGGAACAGTCTCGAAACCCCTCGCCTTCATTAGAGGAGCGGATAGAAAGTGCCAAACGAAGAGCCAATCAAGTCCGAGTGAAGATCCGGCAGGATGTGGTACGAGTTGTGCTTAATATATTCTTTGCTGAAAACTCACTCACCCTTAAGTCTCGTACACACCGGGACGATTATCGCGAGCACTTATCGCCGACGTTTTTCGACGCGTCTTTTGTGTTCATACCCAAGCGATTTTCGCATGCGATGAGCCGAGTGAACGTGCAAATTCACTCCCTGACATTAGATGGTGCTTCATGAAAAACAGAAATACCCCGAAGACCAGCAACTCTACATTCATCTTACTTCCTCTTCGTCTCAATGTGTGCTCGGCAAGACCGTTTTGTGCTTGAGCGCCACCTAGTCATGTTTTACTGTAACGTCAGCAGCTCCAGGCACGTGAACAAAAGCGCCAATCTCATTGGTCGGCCAGTTTTTAACGCGGCGCGTCAAACCAAAAAACCAAAAAACGTTTTTTTTTTTACAAAATTACGCTTTTACGCCTTGGGTATTGCGCGTCGGTGTGCACGCTCACATTGGTGCCCTTTGTTTAGTCACGAGGCGTTAAACGTCGGCGATAATCGCGCGCGATATTCGTCCCGGTGTGAACAAGCCTTAACACCATCTGAGATGGAGAAATGTAGCATTGCATCACTTGATGCTCTGCAGTGAATGGGTGCCATCAGAATGAGAGTCCAAACAGCTGATAACAACATCACAATAATCCACAAGTAATCCACAGCACTCCAGTCCATCAGTTAATGTCTTGTGAAGCCAACAAATCCATCAAGACATTTTAAGTTCATTGCTTTTGACCAAATTATGATTCCATAATCCAGAGTAATGGTTCCTCCAGTGAATTTGCACGTATTAATTGGAATGATTCGGGGCTGAAAAAGTGGCGTAATTAAATAAAAAGTAAAGTAATTAAATAAAAGGACCAACAACAGACTACTGTTGTGTTATATGGACTGGTTTTAAAGGCACAGATAGTTGCATTTGTTTCCTTTCTGAGCTTTCTGATGTAAATGTGCGGTGTGAAGCACGTCAGGGTTCATAAACCAGCCAGATCAGGTATTCTTAGTTGAATAGTCGATTAGTTGTTTCCAAGCTCTGCACACGGTCATTTTAAACCGCTTCTCTGTTTCAGGATGGCACTCGATCAGAAGCAGTCGCTAGCTATCTCACAGCTGGAGAAGGTCGCTATACGTTCATTAAATCATGTGTTGAAGAGCTAATACGATCTTTGATTCATCAGCGTTCGTGCTGTAATGTTGGTGTGATTTCCCTCTTTGAGCAGGTCGGTTATCGATGGACTCCAGCGAAGGAGACGTCGAGGTGAGTTACATTCGCTTTAGGGATGCAACGAAATCATTCGGCCGGAAATAGCAAAAATAGGGATCAAATAGCAACCAGCGTCGAGTGAGAGGCGCGCACTCTTTATAATGCAGCACACATGCCAGCAGTGTGGAAGCTTTTAAAACTGTCCGAGAAAGACACGAAAATCATTGACTGTTTAGTACTGCCTTAGACAATTAGTAAATCAACTGCAGAACGTTGTGTTTTCTAATACTCGCATGAATTGCATGTATTCTGACAGCGCTATCTGCTTGTTAACCAGCGTTCAAAGGCCAAAGCGTGAGGAAAATCTGCGCTGAAACAGTGTTACGCATCACATTTTTATGAATTTTTACAATGCGATACGTGCGACGTATTCGTAATGAGACACGTTTATAAATCTGCTGTTGTCAACAAAAAGAAGCGCTTGGGTCTTCCTGCGCATTTCCGCCAAAATAAAAGTTAAGAACTCCAGCATTCATAAATGTTAGTATTGTTGTAATTTGACTGTTGTTCTGTAAAAATAAAATAAAAAGACAATAATAATGATAATAATAATTACAACAGCTCTGTTAATACATTTATTATAACGTTCACACATAGTGTTCAAATCGGGATCTGTAAAATTATCTAATGTTTTAAAGGGGTCATATGATGCTGCTAAAAAGAACATTATTTTGTGTATTTGGTGTAATGAAATGTGTTTATGCGGTTTAAAGTAAAAAAAACACATTATTTTCCACATACTGTACATTATTGTTTCTCCTCTATGCCCCGCCTTTTTGAAACGCGTCGATTTTTACAAAACTAATCGGTCTGAAAAGCGAGGTGTGCTCTGATTAGCCAGCTATCCAGTGATTTTAGACTTTAGTCTTTGCAACTTTACAGATCTTCTTTATGCACCAAGAGCTTGTAACACTTCTAAAGAGAAAGGAAAAAATGAAATCGCATCATATGACCCCTTTAAAAGAAGTCTCTTCTGCTCCGCAAGGCTGCTTTTATTTGTACAGTAAAAGAAGGGGGTCTGACGGCCAACACTTATTATTTTACTAACTTGTTAATTTTAAGTTAAATTGTGCTTTGTTGGTATAATGTCTGCTGGAATCTTAACTATTTTTAAATTGTTTTGTAATTTATTTATTTTTTCTTTGAAAAGCACGACAAAACAGTAAAATGCACATTTTGCTATTTAATTTATTCAATTGTGACTCTGGAGCACAAAACCAGTCTTAAGTCGCATATTTGTAGCAATAGCCAAAAATACATTGTATGGGTCAAAATTATAGATTTTTCTTTTATGCCAAAAATCATTAGGATGTTAAGTAAAGATCATGTTCCATGAAGATATTTTGTAAATTTCCTACTGTAAATATATTAAAACTTAATTTTTGATTAGTAATATGCATTGCTAAGAACTTCATTTGGACAACTTTAAAGATGATTTTCTCAATATTTAGATTTTTTTGCACCCTCAGATTCCAGATTTTCAAATAGTTGTATCTCAGCCAAATATTATCCTCTCCTAACAAACTATACATCAATGGAAAGCTTATTTATTCAGGTTTCAGATGATGTATACATCTCAATTTTGAAAAATTGAGACTTAAGACTGGTTTTGTGGTCCAGGGTCACAATTGTGAAAAAAAATTGGCAAAATACATGGGGGAAAACCTCGAAAAACCGTGTTCGGCCTTCGACCCAGTGTTTCAATTTGTTCGGTTTCGGCCAAGTATTTATTCCGGTGCATCCCTAGTTCTCCTTACAGCTTTAAGAAACGATTCCCATCAGATTCCTAGGAGTGTGAATAGAAGTGACTGTGAGACTCTGTCCAACGGTCTCCTGTGTGTCTGTGTTCAGGCGTGTGAGAGTCCCTTCTCCTCCCCGTCCACCTTCCCCAGGAACCCTCTGCTCCGCCGGCAGGGATCCGACACGCACCCCTCGGACTCGGTAAGACGATCGCTGGATCCCCGTAGCGCTCGGCAGTGCTCTGTGTTCAGCCTGCAGTCTGAGTGTCTTGTGTCCCTTCAGGGAGGGAAGACGCAGATCATTGGACCAGAGGAAGAAGAGGAGGATGATGGGTATTCGATCAATGAGGTGAGAGAGTTTTCATTAAATGCCTCGCTTATCGCATTTCTCGCCGGATATAGCAGAGTCTCCCAAAGCTGATGAAAAGCTAGTAATTAATTAAATGTGAAAATTTAAATAATGGATTTAAAATAGAAACATTCAAATAAAAATACAGTTTACCTGCATGTCATTTGACCCCTATCCACCATCAAAAGCATGCAAATGTGTTGTTAAATTATTAAAATATTTGTATAATATATAAATTAAATAATACATTTATATTTTAATAACTGATATATTTTAGTGTCATCCAGTTGTTTTCTCTGAAATAAATATTTTAAATTTTATTTCATTTTTGAGTAAAAATGTGTTAAATATCTTGGCGAGTGCAGTTGAGTGACATTTACCTGTAGAGATCGTCTCTTCATAACCAATACCCTTTAGATTTCTTGCTATTATTTTATTGGACAGAGATTTGGATATGCACAATTATGCAGAGCGTAGTCATCAGAGTTTTTAATTTCATTTTCATATGCATCTTAAATGCATGTATTAAAGTATATCTGGGCTGAATTTGGAATAGCATGCTACTCTTACTATTTCTGCCATATCTTTATATCACAGACACAGTAGTATGCTAGTATGCTGTAATCCATGTGTTAAAGTTGATTTGGTCGACTTTCGGGAGTACGCTAGCATATAGAGCTCAAAGCTAGTTATATAAAAAAAGTAAAACTCTTTTGGCAGATTGTCAGTGTTAAAAACATTATGGTTGATATTGCCTAGGCTTCTTTTGTTCACTGTTGTTGTTAATTAAAACTAAAAATTAAAATAAAACAAAAATAAAATGTAAATAATAGAATTGGAAATATTTTATGTATATATTAAATATATACATGCAATTTTTTAAAATGAGAATGGGAAATGATGCTTTAGCAACTAGCTACATTAAAATAAGTTCAGAATTAATGAAATGAAATCAAATAAAGCTAAATAGGAATATTTAAAATTTCCTAGAACTAATAAAAATGACAAAAGCAAAAATGACAAAAATACTAAAATGAAAATGAAGACATAAAAATAAAAGCTAGTCCTCAATATTGTAATAGTATAGAAATTATACTAAAATAAAACTGCTTTTCTTACACTGGACTTGTAAGTCACGTGATGTGCAGTATGTTAGTATATTGTTTAGGGATGGGCATTTTTCAAAAATATTGTATTCAAATATTTGGGCTCATAAAAAACGAATATTCGAATATTTGTTTATTTAAATGACGTTTAACGAGAAAGACGTTATTTTTTAATAATCAAGTGTTTGTCACCATTTCTGAACAAGCTTATGATTAGGCATCATAGACAACAATGTTAACGCGCTCCACAGCGCCACCCAGTGCATTTAGTTATAACTGGCTTTTAGTTTGTGTGCTCAGGATTTTTAATGGATTCCTTGCATTTACGGCCAGCAAAGCAACACGTAGTAAAATTCGAATAGTGTTTTAATTTTCGAATGATAATTACAGATCGAATATTCGACTGTTTGTGCGCACTCCTAATATTATTCCACATGGAGCCAGTGACAGTGGAGTAGATGAGAGGATGTCTTGACGTCTGTAGCTCTCTCTCGCTGTTCATGACAGATGGACGGGCCGTTTCAGGACATCGAGCTGCTGAAGAGTCGTCCGGCTCACATGACGGTCTTCATGAGATACGTGTTCAGTCAACTACTGGATCCAAACCCGCTGGTCAGCCCTGCTTTCTCCTATGATATAGGGGTGTAACGGTACATGTATTTTCGGTTCGGTGCGCATGTGTACCGAACAAATACAGCGTTGTTTTAACCACTGCACGAGCGGAACTTCACTGGAAAATTCCAGTTTTATTTTAAAGCAATAAACCCCAAGAAGCCGTGATTTACAGTGAATTTATAACAGCTAAGGGGCGTTGTTAGGCACGACGCGAAGCTGTTATAAATTCACTGTAAACCACGGCTTCACGGGGGTTATTGCTTTTATAAACCGGTTATTCAATATACGTAGTACGGTTTCACAAAATAAAACGGCAAATAAAGTGTAATGATATTAATAAAAACATTATTCTTCAGCCAAACAATGTAGTTCCTCAGAAACGGTTGTGGTTGCAACAAAGTGGTTGCCAAGCAACACACAAACGTAAACAAAGGTCTATGTTTGTAGAGTAATTTACAACAGCTTTGAACTTGGCTCAACCAATCAGAATCAAGGACCGGAACTCTCCGTTTTATAAATTGTTACTTTTGATAAGAAAGAAAGTCTCATCTTTCAAATGATGTCCATTTTTTTTCAGGAAATTCAAACAATAAATGCGGTTTTGGTGCTCTTTGATGTGGCGACAGCTCTAAACGCCTCAGTTCGCGATCATCCCTTCCTCTTTACTACTAGTTATAACACAAAATAAACATGAATGAGCATCTCCTGCCTCCTGTAATCGCTCAATCAGTGTTTCATCCGCGGAAAGACGGCAATAAAAACAGCTTGTAAACAAAACGTCACGTAGCATTTCATTTCATGAAGTCTAGAGAAGAGCATTTCGCCAAATATTAGATTTTATAATCATTATATTTTGCTTTACCTGTTAGTGATGTCTTAATTATTTTAAGTCGAGTGTTGATTATTATATTTAAAGATAAATGGTAATTAAATTTAAGTTTGGTCTCTGGTGTTAATTGTAACGTTGTAGTAGTGTAAAAGGGCTCACTGTAAGCCGAGGCAGATTTTTATCCCTAAGAAAAGTTTAATTATAATTACATTTATTTAAAGAGAGCAATTTGTTCAGTACACCAGTTTAACTCTGGCCATTGTTGAGTTATCTCGTCTTTTACATGAAAACGCTTCCCCGCCAAAGACGAGTTTTTACGGCTTTTCGTGTTTTCACTGTTATACACTAGGGGGCGCTATTACACATCTTCTGAACGAGTACAAAACCTCCCGAACAAAAACACACGTGAACAGGACGGAGAAACGAGCGATCTCTTATGTAAACAGATGCATATGAAAAATCATCAGCAATAGAAGCATATAAATGAAAACTGGTATATGAAAATGTTATATGTCTGTGCAAGCTTTGGAGGTGTTGATGGAAGCGATTTACTGGATTTATGCTTTGATAATAGTACTGAATATTACCCAGATGTAGTTTTTGATAAAAATGTGATTTTCTCACCTCAAAATTATGCATTTTTTATGAAACCTACCTATATTCAAGTGTTGATAAAAAAAGAATGCTTTAAGCTAGAATAAAACAGATTTTTTTTTTTTTAAAGTAGAGGCTCTGATTCAAATATTCATACAGCAAAATATACTAGAGGCCATCAAATTTTTGTAAAAATCATCAAAATCGGTGGCGGGCAACTTTTTTCAAAAATGGCAAGGGTAAATATAAAAAAAAAAGCAATTTTTTTCCCCCTGCTGTACCGAACCGTCATATTTGTGTACCGTTACACCCCTAATATGAAATATTAAATGCCAACTCGGTGAGCATCAGTGGCTGCATGAGCACTAATGTAACTCTTGTGTCGATGCAGTTGTTTTATCTGTCTGTGGAGGCGTATCTGGGCTCGAGCCCTAAAGACGCCCGTTCGCTCGCCCCTCAGATCTGCTCGCACTTCCTGGACCACGATGCCGTGAGTGTCTGATCTACACCCACAAACCACCAGCGCTGCTTTTCTCAGCGAGCTTTCTGTGTGACTGTCCATTTGTGATTCTTTTCAGCCTGTGAAGATTAAAGTCCGGGAGGAGTTTCTGACAGATATAGGTGAGATCTCTTGAGCACGACACCTGCTGGCAGCGTGACGGGGCTGTGGTTAACCGTGCGTTTGGTTTGTTCTCGTGTAGAGAGTCGTCTGCACGCGCAGGAGGACATCCGAGGGCCGCTGTCTGAGCTCCAGCAGCAGGTGCTTCCAGATATTCAAGAGCAGCTTCAAGACTACAGGTGCGCCTCCAGCTTTACTTTAATATGTATACTGGAGCAGTTTTATCTAATACTGCCGCTGGAGCCCTTTCTTGTGGTTACGAAAGGTTGTGTTTTGTGCTTGATGGGATGTTTTCTGTGATGCACGGCAGGAGCAAACAGACGATGGGTCTGGGCTCTCTGTTCGGAGAGAGCGACCTGCAGCAGTTAGACGGAGACCCGGTGAAAGAGCGGCAGGTGGTGGACAAACAGGTGCTGGCGCTCTGGGACGTCCTGTGAGTGTTCAGTTACTCTTGAACATGACTTTAACATGGCTTGAGCTCAACACTGACTCGGTTTGCTTCGCTAATGCATCAGTGCACGTGATTCTGAAGATAAAGGTTGTTGTCTTCATGATATTTCATGAAAAATCTGCTTCTGATAACTTTTCTTTTGGAATCATCAATAATAGCATTGTAATATTTCTGTTGTGCTGTATTATTATTCTTATGAATCAGTTATTATTATTATATACTAATATCAATAGTACTATTACTATAGTAATACATTTATTTATTGGTTTAATTTTTATAACTTGAATAATAAGTTTAATTGATACATTTCTTTAATGGTATTATAATGTGGTATTATTTTCTTTATTTTATAATTATTATTATTAAGTGATCAAATTTTATAGTACAACTATGCTATAGTAGTACAATAATAATAGTAATTGTAATTATTATTATTATTATTAAAAAAAAAAAATATATATATATATATATATATGTGTGTGTGTGTGTGTGTGTGTGTATATATATATGTGTACATATATATATATATATATATGTATGTGTGTGTGTGTGTGTTTGTGTGTGTATATATATATAATGCATTATAGTAATGCGTTTTTATTGGGCTACATTATATAACTTAATAATAAATAAATGTGTTACTATTGTAATGATACTGTTGTACTAAAAATGAGTATTTATTGTTATTATTATTAATATAATTTGTGCAATAAAATATTACAGTATAATAGTATTATTACAATAGTAATACATAAGGTTATTGGTCTATTTTTTATAATTTAATAAACATAATTATAATTATAGTTATGATTATTTCATAGTACAAACGTGCAATAGCATTACGATAGCAATACAGTTGTTTATTGTTTTAATTTTTATAATTTAATGACTACACTACTACTGTTACTTTCATATACTAATATTAATTTTATTATTATTGTTTAATAATTTTGAATGGGTTTCATAAAAACAATTGTGTGAATGTGGCCTGAGACAATTGAAGCAGAAAGAGATTTTGTTAAAAGAAAATAAAAATAAAACACAACTCTATAAAACACAACTCTTTTTCCCCCTTGATCCTCGTGCTAAAATCAGCTCATTTTAAATATTTTAAATATTTCAAATTATATTTTAAAACATTTCATGCCTGGGAAAGAAAAGAGCAAAGGGACACATTTTTAACCCCTGATGAGTTTGCGTCTCTGGTTAATATGCTCTAAAGTCAATGGGAGAGATATGCTATAAAACCAGCAGCACAGATTATAAAGCGTTTCCACGGCGACCGGTCAGGTGACATGGGAATAAACCCGCGAGCTTGCGTGAGTTACAAAGGTCCCGCGTCTGTGACACGCCTCGACACAGAGCTGCTCACATGACCCGCAGACCGGTCACATGACCGCTGTACACACAGGACCCTCGCAGATCACGCCAGACCGCTGTGAGCTTAAAACCCGAGGTTTGTGTCCCACTTCAGGTGTGTGTTTGTGTAAATCCAGTCAAGCTAACACCAGCTTTCTTTCCTTACAGCTCAAAACACGAGGAGGACAGAAGGTATGAGCTTCAATCCTGTGGCTAGCAGTGATTTATGTGCTAAGAAGCATGAAATCAGTATATTAAATGACAATATTGACAGTTGTTCTGCTGTCAGTTCTCCGCTAGCGTCTGCAGTTCATCTGTATCTCAGACACTCGGGCATTAAACTCAGAGACTCCAAAGTGTTTCCCGGCTTGATGTCCGAGAAGGAAAAGTGGCTTCCGTTCTTTCCTAAAGCTAAAAAGGTAAATGTATGATGTAATGTACTGAAAGATGTACTGTATTTACACTAGCTCTAGTTCTTACTGGATCCTCATAATGTGCTTCAAATGTTCATACGCAGCTGAGCAGCGCCAGACGAGAGAAGGACGGAGACGACAAGAAACGAAATCCCATCCTGAAGTACATCGGAAAACCCAGAAGCACGTCCCAGTCCAGTAAACACGCACACACACACACACACACACACTCTCTCTCTCACACACACACAGTCATTAGCAGGTGACACAATGACACTATGGACACGGTCTGAGTCACTAGTTAAAATTGCTTATTTCTCTGGATTGAAACATTCTTCGAAACATTTGGGATAATGTAAGTACACAAGTCAGCAAAATATACAACACTGTTCTAGTGGTTTTTGGATATTTTAATAAAATAATCTTACATATTGTGCCTTTAAATTCGAATTAATCGATGAATTCTGAAAAATCGCCCAGCCCTACTTTTACCCATAATATTTTAGTAAATACAGCTTTAAGAGCCTCTGGATTATATGTGTAGTTCAGTACTTTAATGTGAGCCTCAGACGAGGTTTGTGTGGCGTCTGATGCTCTGCTGGTGGTCTGCAGAGCTGTTCACCACGGAGGCGTCTCACCTGCGGACGCTGCGGGTTCTGGATCAGGTGTTTTATCAGAAGATGCAGAGCGTCCTCAGTCCAGAAGAGCTGTCCTGCATCTTCCTGAACCTGCGCCTCGTCTACGAACTACACGGTCAGTGCTTGTTATACATTGCTATACTGTGCAGTTACGATTGTTTTCACTGTTGTTATCACACTTACATTTGTCATTGTTCATGTTTGTGTTGAATGCTGTATATTATGTCTTGTAAGAGATATATATATATATATATATGCATGCAGGATGGAAATGATAATAAGACTTGACTTGAAAGCTTGTGTTACAAACCAGTTTGCTATAAATCAGAAAATGAACTTTGAATGCAGTATTATAAGTTGCTCTGCTGAATGCATACGTGTAATACTTAAGGCCTAATGTTGTTTTTCTATCCCAGCGAGCTTATGTGAGGCCATGAAGAAACGCAGGGAATCGCCGGTCGTTCAGGGCATCGGAGACATCATGCTGGCCAGAGTGAGTGTCTCGCTCCTCTTTTGTCTTAGTTAAGTTAAAGGAATAGTTCATCAAAAAATGAACATTTGCTGGAAATATACTCTCTCTCAGGCCATCCAAGATGTTTGTTTCTTCATCAGATTTGGAGAAATGTAGCATTGCATCACTTGATCCTCTGCAGTGAATGGGTGCCGTCAGAATGAGAGTCCAAACAGCTGATAAAACATCACAATAATCCACAAGTAATCCACAGCACTCCAGTCCATCAGTTAACATCTGGAGAAGACAAAAGATGAAACATTTTTAACCTCAAACTTCTGCTTCCATAATCCATAATATAGTTTAATTTCTCCTGAATCGGGAGAGAAATCTGCACAGATCAAGCACCCGTTTACAAGCCAAAGCAGCTCTAAACAAATATGTTGGTGGATTTTGATGTGAGAGGACAACAGATGATTAACTTTTTCACTGGAGGAAGCGTTATTATGGCTTATGGACTATTATATTAGCCTTAAACGTTAAAAACACCTTAATGGTGGATTTGTTTCTCATAAACATGCAGCTTTTCTCTTCTCAAGACATTAACTGATGGACTGGAGTGCTGTGGGTTACTTGTGGATTATTGTGATGTTTTTATCAGCTGTTTGGACTCTCATTCTGACGGCACCCATTCACTGCAGAGCATCCACTGCTGAGCAAGTGATGCACTGACACGTTTCTCCAAATCTAACAAACTCGTCTACATCTTGGATGGCTTGAGGGAGAGGAAACTGTCAGCAAATGTTCATTTTTGGGTGAACCGCTCCTTTAAAAGCAATGCTTTTGCTCACGAAGCGTACGAGTCATGCAGTATGTGTGTGTTGTAGTTGGAGGGAGAGGCTGGAGATCAGTTCGAGGAGCAGGTGTCTCATCTGTGCAGTCAGCAGAGTCAAGCGCTGGAGCTCATCAAGAGCAAACGGCGCAAAGACCCTCGCTTCGCTCACCTCATACAGGTAAGGCGTGCACCAGTGCTTTCCCAGGTCATCCACGGATGATACGGCTGTGTGTTGATGTTGTGTGCTGTCTGTCAGGAGTGCGAGGCCAGTCCTCACTGCCGCAGGTTACAGCTGAAGGATCTGCTGGTGGCTGAGATGCAGCGCTTGACTAAATACCCTCTGCTGCTGGACAACGTCATCAAACACACAGAGAGTGAGTGAACACACACACATTAGGATCAGTAGGATGTGATGAAACACGCAGCGCTGGCTTACGATCAGGCTAAAACGAGAGATCTTAGAAAGCATCATTTGATGCCTGTAGTTTGGAACATGAAATATAAATGCATTTATTCAATTATTAATGGTTAAAATATTGTTACTGCTATATATTATTGGTGTTTTTTTAAATTAACATTTTAATAATAAATAAAAATAAAATAATAAATACGATACAAATGTACTGTCTCCTATATCTATATATATATCATATATATATATATATATATATATATATGAAGCACATCTGTTTTCTAATAATCAGAAGTGTTTCTCGAGCAGCAAATCAGCATATTAGAATGATTTCTGAAGATCATGTGACACTGAAGACTGGAGTAATGATGCTGAAAATACAGCTGCACATCACAGAAATAAATTACAGTTTAACAGATATTCAAATAGAAAACATTTTAAATTGTAATAATCTTTCTCAATATTATAAGCGGCGTCTCCGGACCTGCAGCTGCTTCAGAGAGCACAGGCCCGTTGCCGTGGGATACTGCAGGCTGTTAATGAGGTCGTCAGGGAGACGGAGCACCGGCATCGGCTCGGCCAATACCAGCGCAGGCTGGACCTGACGCCTCTGGAGCGGCTGGCCAAGCCCGTACATTTATAATGTTACTGTTTCAAATAAATGCTGTTCTTTTGAACTTTCTATTCATCTGTGAATCCTGCAAAACAAGAGACATCGCAGTTTCCACAAAGATATTGGAAGCACATCTGTTTTCTAATAATCAGAAGTGTTTCTCGAGCAATAAATCAGCATATTAGAATGATTTCTGAAGATCATGTGACACTGAAGACTGGAGTAATGATGCTGAAAATTCAGCTTTGATCACAGAAATAAATTACAGTTTAACAGATATTCAAATAGAAAACATTTTAAATTGTAATAATCTTTCTCAATATTATAAGCGGCGTCTCCGGACCTGCAGCTGCTTCAGAGAGCACAGGCCCGTTGCCGTGGGATACTGCAGGCTGTTAATGAGGTCGTCAGGGAGACGGAGCACCGGCATCGGCTCGGCCAATACCAGCGCAGGCTGGACCTGACGCCTCTGGGGCGGCTGGCCAATCCCGTCGCAGCACAGTTCAAGGTACGAGCCGTTCACGGTCCTTCACGACGCTCCCTCATCACTGACAGTAACACCGCTCTTCATGCTGTCGGTTCTCTCTCAGAATCTGGATCTCACCACTAAGAGGATGATCCATGAGGGGCCGCTCACGTGGAAAGTCAGCAAAGACAAAGCCATCGGTAAAGACGTGTGACGCACATGGACAGAATCAAAATGCAATTAACTCAAAATCACCATAGTTACCATAGTGTCTGCTAAAATGCATTATTAATATAGGAGTTTTTGCTACAGTAAAATGCGGTAATGCACATTTTTGTAAAGGCAGTTTCCTATGTTGACTTTTAGATGTACAGTTTATATATAAAAATATATGTGACCCTGGAGCACAAAAGCAGTCTTAAGTCGCTGGGGTATATTTGTAGCAATAGCCAACAATACATATCTATTAATTTTTTATAACTATATAATAATTAGTATAATTAATTTGTATTGATAAAATCTCTGTTTTAGATTTAATTATTTTAGTACGTCAAGTTAAACTAAATGTTGCCTTGGGAAATACCTGAAATAAAATAAGTTTAAGTAGTTTTTTTATTATATTTTATTTCAGTTAACGTTTATTTATTGTCGTTAAGGAATGTTTTTTATGGTTTTAGTTAACTATAATAGCACATAGATGAGCTGGAAGCGTGTAATGGTTTTCTAAGCGCTGCGTGGTGTGTGAATGTCTCAGAGGTGCAGGCGCTGCTGCTCTCGGATCTGCTGGTGCTTCTTCAGAGGGCTGCAGACGAGCGGCTCCTGCTGCGCTGTCCGTCTCGCTCGCTGGGCGCTGCTCCAGACCTCAAGATCCCCTTCTGCCCCATCCTTCGCCTCGACTCCGCCCTCGTCCGCTTGGTTGCGACCGGTGAGAGTGGAAACGTTCACTGAGCGTACTTTAAATAAAACGGATGGAGAAGATTCAGAGTTGCTTTAAAATATGTAACAAACTCGTTTCCGTCTTGCAGACAATAAAGCGCTGTACGTGATCAGCACGTCAGAGAGTCAGATCTATGAGCTGGTGGCCGGGACGTCGTCGGAGAAGAACACGTGAGTCTCCACTCGGTCCTCATTGGCTGCTTGTGTGAATGATCAGGGAGCTTTCTTTATTCTTTTATGTTTCCTCACAGTTGGAAAGATCTGCTGGAAAAGACTATCGCTGCAGCGACTCAAGGAGCGGGATCGAGCAAACAAGGATCGCCAGTGCCGTACGTCACACCATCAGCACACAAACACTGAAAACTACAGCCATATCATGACTAGTTTCTGATCAACTTACGTCTGCTCTGTTTCAGGTCCTCAGATGCGCGTTCATCTGCCAATCCGTTAGGTAAGAGCCGTGTGTGAAGTGGTCGACATATGAGGGGGGAATTACAAATAAACTGAACAAAATTATAAACGCAACACTTTTGTTTTTGCCCCCAGACAGCATATATACTACCGTTCAAATGTTTGCTGTCGATATGATTTTTTTGTTTTGACTGTTTTCCATCAAGGATGCATTAAATGGATCAAAAGTGACATTTAGAACATTGCACGTTTCAAATAAATGAAGCTCTTTTGAACGTTCTATTCATTAAAGAATGTTGGAAAATAAAATGCATCACCGTTTCCACAGAAAATGAGAGTCAGTGTGTTTTCAGCATTGATAATAATCAGAAATGTTTCTGGAGCAGCAGATCAGCATATTAGAATGATTTCTGAAGATCATGTGACACTGAAGGCTGGAGCAATGATGCTGAAAATTCAGCTTTGATCACAGAAATAAATTACATTTTAACAGAGATTCACAAAAAAAAACAGTTATTTTAAATTGTAAAAATATTTCACAATTTTACTGTATTTTTGCAGCCTTGGTGAGCTTTTATAAACACTTTCAAACAGTAGTACATAATGCATTTATACACATTTAATAAAAACAGCAAATGAAACGTGTGCAAAACTGCTGAAATGAACAGTTATTTTACACAGTAATGTTATTATTCATTTGAAAGACTTGTCTGAAGATTTTAGACATTGTGGTTTTCTTGTAATTGTTCCCATTCTTACTGTGCGCATTTCAGCAGTGCACATTAATCTGAAGGTTTCTGTAATATTTCATCAAAATGCATTAATTTGCACAACTAAGCTCAGACGTTTCCTGTACTGTTCGACTCAGAAATGTCACATTGCAGAAGTAAGATATGCATAAGACGAGCATGACATAATTTCCCCCGTGTCTGTCAGATGCGTCGGAGTCGTCCGTGTGTCTGGAGCGGGACTCTGCCAGTGATGATGAAAGTGCTCTCACACTGACAGACGGATCGGACGCACGCCGTCATCAGGATAGAGTCGGGTCACTCCGAACCAAAGCTGCTGTCGCCGAAGCTGCTCTTCAGGACGGTGAGCCATTGTGTTCGCTTGCTAGTTTGTTGCTTTGTTTTGTTTTATGCAGGGTTTCCGCAGGTCCTTGAAAAGTCGTACATTTAGTTGTCAAATTTAAGGTAATAAAAACTCTTAAATGGTACAAGAAAGTCTTAATTATGATTTCAGGAGGTCTTAAATTTGGGGACGGGAAGACGAGAATTTATACGGCTTAATGTGTGACTTCATTAAATGTGACCCTGGACCACAAAACCAGTCTGAAGTGTCAATTTTTCAAAATTGAGATTTATGCATAATCTGAAAGCTGAATAAATAAGCTTCATGAGCGCTGCACATTTCAAAGTCAGGGAAACCGCTGTATTCACTATATTTCTGCTGCTCCAAACGCGCCACCTGCTGGGAGAGAATGCATTTGCATTTTCATTAAGCCCGTCTGCTGTTTTTTTTCAGACCAAATCGAAAATCAGTGTTTTTTTTTAATGAATATAATAATTGTTTAAGTTAATATAATAATTGATACTTTGATCCATTTTCTTATAAATGGTTTAAAGGCTGAAATGTGAAGTTTATCATTTTATAAAACTTTTTTAGTTTTTTTTTGAAAACCTGTATCTGAACTGTAAATCACGCTTTACAGTTTAATATGTTACTATAGACATTGCTCTACCCCGCTCATATGGTATTAATTTTATTTGTGCAGGTCTTAAAAATGGTCTTAAAAAGTCTTGAATTCGAAACCCTGGTATGTCAATCTGAAATGAAGATTGAACCCTGAATCAAATGTTTTCATCTAAAGCAAGCTTTTGTCTGAAGGAAGCCTTATATAGGTTTCTAAATTGCTCTTTTATGCTGTTTCAGCTTGTTTCTCGCCAAGAAAGCTGGAACCAAACACCCGTTATGAAGCCAAATAAACTAAAATAATAAATGTTAACAAAACAACAAAAAACTATTATTAATATATATTTTTGTTAACTGAAATAAAGCTTAAAGTAATAAATATACATATTAAATGGACAAACTTTAAAAAAATTTGAAGTACTAAAATGACTAGAACTGAAAAAAATGCCAAAGCTAAATATTATTTAAAAAAGGGCTAATTATAGCGAATAAAAATGACTAAAACCTAAACTAAAAATACAATGTAATTCTAAATATTAATAAATTAGTATATAAATAAATAATACTAGAATAACTCTGAAAACACTTGAAGTCAGCAGCTAAAATAGTTTTGTGAAGAGATTTTCTGTCCATCCAAAAGTCAGTACCAGCTGTTTTGCACATATAACTTATAAAACAAAACATACAACACAGTTCTGCTCTTGAATATCTTGTTTGCTACTAAGTGATTCTAAAAGTTAACATTTTTGTCTTGTTTTCTCAGTGGAAACCCTCCGGCAGCTGATCTTCAGAGACCTGGAGGATGGGTGGAGTCAGGATTCAGATGACACGCCCACAAATGAGACTGCCAATGAAAGGAGTCCTTTGACAGACGGAGCGGGGGCGGAGTTCTCTGATCCCGCCCCCAGTGAGAGGCCCAGCCAGTGGGGGGAGGAGTCTGTAGAAGCTCCGCCTGTGGAGGCGCTGCAGTCGCCCGTTCAGGTGGTGAGGAAAGGTAAAAGCTCGCCACCATGTTATATGATGATCATATAACACAGTGATTATAATCACATTTATCATCCAGTGTTCAGTTTACATTTATTTCTGCTTTATTTTGATTAACGGAAATGTTCTTGATTTCCCTCTCTGTTTTCAGAGAATTGAAGCGTTTGTCTCTTCTCTCCTCTGTCTCTGTCTGTCTCTCTGCATGTGCTCAGAGCTCACTGTGATCAAGCTTATGTGATTTAACACGCTTCTCTCTTCTCTCTCTCTCTGCTACTTCTCCACAAAACACACACACACACACACACACACACTCTCTCTCTCTCTCTCTCTCTCTCTCTCTCTGTCTTTCACTCACACACACACACACACACTCTCTCGCTGTCTTTCACACACACACTCTCGCTGTCTTTCACACACACACACACACTCGCTGTCTTTCACACACACACACACACACACTCTCTCGCTGTCTTTCACACACACACACACACACTCGCTGTCTTTCACACACACACACACACGCACACACAGCACTGCCAAAATGTGGAACAGCTTCAAATTGAGGATATGAGACTAGCACAGACGAGCTCAAAGACTCCGACGCGTCTCACAACATCCAGCAGACTCCAGACATGTCCTTCATCAGTGAGGAAGAGGAACAGGAGACGCCCTGCCTCTCTCCAACAGACCAATCACTGACTGAGACCCTGAGTCACAGGGAAAGACTCGGCCAATCACAGCCAAGCGTCCAGCGACATGTGATCAAAAACGTGGACGAGATCTTCAGCACCATGGAGGAGCTGATGAGGAAACTGCAGCACCTGCGGGTAAAACACACACACACCACTCGCACACACATCTCACACTCACACACACACACACACACACACACACCACTCGCACACACATCTCACACTCACTCACACACACACACACACACTCACACACACACACACACACACCTCACACACACACACACACACACATC